AATTATATTTGGCTTAAAGTGATTGGTACATCTAACAATATTTAATTTTAAAATCTTTAAATTTTATCTAAACATATCTAATTTAAAATTTTGATTTTTTTTTTTACAATATTAGAAAAAAAATGAACTCAAATCTATTAGTGTATTATCATAAATTTTGAATTATTACACATGGCATAATATTACTGGATTTAACATTTAAATTTTAAAATTAATTAAAATATTTAACTATATGATTTGTGGAATTCCAATACTTTTTTTTTTCTGAATTTTCCAATTTTTTTTTTTAAATTTTTACAAAATTTAAGCTGCTAAGTGTTGATTTTTTATTGCTATCCATGATTTTATCCAAAATTATTGGTTAATATTGACCACTATTAAATTCTTTTTGCTATAATGATAACAATTGACTACCATCAATTTTAAAATTTTCTATCAATGTATTTTAAAAAAAAAATTATCATCAAGCATGCAATTTAAAAATTAAATATATTTTATTCTATTACAACTTTATTAAAAAAGTAAATTTATTTTGCTACTATTCAAGAAAATATATATGCCTTTATTTCGATATAACAAAAATTAAATTATCTTCTACTTATACATAATCTCTCATAAATATCTTACTTTTTTAAAATTTTGATTATCAACAACTGAATTCTCACATTTCTCTCTCTCTCTCTTTTTTTTTTTTTTAAGGATGTTTATTTTACTTTTATCTTTTTTTCAAATTAGATTTGATATTATCTTTTTACTATATAATTTATATGTATCTATCTATACTATCTATCTATAAAAGCAAATGTAGTGGAAGCTCACAGACTATCAATTATTTAATCCTAATTTCTCATAATTTTGAGAGATTAAAAAAATGAGGTGGCACTTCTTCCTCTCTCACCCTGTTTTTTCTAGCCAAAATAGAGGAGAGACAAAAATCCACATGAAATATATAAGAAAAAATATATATTTATCACTTTAGATAAATTAAAATTTTTAAAACTCTCTTATCACCTGTTTCCTTTATCTCAATTAAAATAACCTCCTTTTGCATGACTTCCTCTCTCACATGTCTCTCTTCCCTCTTTATATATAGTTGCATTTTTGTTTCAATCTCACACTGCTTCTTATAAAAAAAAATAAAAATATGACTATATCTCTCTCCCAAAAAACTTGCCCTTATTTGTCACCATCACCTCCATGGTCATTTCATAAGAAAGTTAGATTGGTACTGCCTAGATGGCCATTCCGTAAGAAAGTTAGAGATTGGTATATATGATACAACAGAGGTTGTCATTGCTTTATTTTTATTTATTTTTTAAGCCCCTTTCCAAGTTTTTGAGTTATATGTTTCACTTATTATATAGACAAAACAATTGCTTTACATAGAATTTTTGTGTGTTTGTATTCCATATCAATAAAGCAATCTGTCAATTTTTTTTTTTCTTTTTTTGTATATGTTTTTCTTTTTCTTATATTTGAGAAAATTTTGTATTTTACAAGTTACAATAGTGTTGAAGTTCAAACAATACACCTAAGTCACAAGGAGAACAAATAACAATAAATGAGAAGGATAATCGAGAATTACTGGAACGATCAAATAGATGGCTTTTATAGAGGAATTAGAAAGTTTTACCATGAGGAAGAAATTTTAGTTTGGAAGCACATATGGCCAACGAGTCTTAAAACAATATGTCAATAAGAAACTTATCAAAGACTACTATGTAAAGAGGACACTTCTGTTTTTGTTGCCCTTTTCTTTCTTTCCATTTTTGTTTTTTTTTTGTATTTTTTTTTGTGTGTGTATAACTAGAATCTTGAATCATAAAAATGGTGTATACGAGATGGAGAGTTTTTCTATTTGAGTGTTCACTGTTGTTAATTGTATTTCAATTTTTTTTGGCACAATTTTTTCTTAGTCCAATAGATATGAGCACACCATTATTTTTTCTTTCTTGCTAAAGTTTTAGCTTTCTTTCTTGCTAAAGTTTTAGCTTGAGGTCATGTGTGACAAATGGTTAAAACATTAATCTTAGATAATAAATAATAATAATAATAAATAAAAAAAATTAAGGACCAAATAAGAAAGACAAAATTACTTATATTAATGTGTGATTTTGGTGCATATGAAAAAATAAAAATAAAATATTTATAAGATGTTCAGTCCCTTCCTTTTCTTTTATCTTCTTATATATTATAAGAATGTAGTATGAAACATGAAAGGCCTTCAAACCCTTAATACTAACTCTTTAATTACTTTCTTTCCTACTGGTATTCTCTCAAGTTCCCTTTACTAATTTTCCTAATTTCTATTTTTTTTAAATAAACGTAAAAAAAAAAATTGATATACAAATAGATAAAGTTAACAAATTTGATCTATCTCGCTTCTGTTAAAATCTTTCGTAATTAACAAATTTGATCCTATATGTTCAGTTAAAATCTTTATTTTATCTCTCAATATCTAATTTTAAAATTTATTTTTTTTAAAGTCTATCTAAACAAATCTAATTTAAAATTTTGAATTTTTTTGTTTGAATTTTTATTTTTTTACAAGAGCTTCAAGCATTAAATAGAAATTTTCAATTTTAAAATTTTTAAAAATAAAAAATATATTTGGCATAAAGTGATAAAAAATTTACAAACCCACAAATATTTATAACCATATATATAAATTAAAAATATATATAAACCAATAACAAATATAGATAGATAGATTTATGGCATTCAGTTTATTAGTAATTCTTTTTAGCATATATATGTTTTAGACATTAGGGTTATAGAAACATCTTATTTATCGTTAGTATTATTTCATTAGTTAGAAATCAAGTTTATTATTTAAAGAAAAATAAATCAGTTGAATTATAATAACATTTTGTGCATATTTGTTTTTAAATTATTGTCTTTACTTATGAAATTTGAGGAGATAATCTTTATTTATTATGATTATAATTTTATGATAGAATTTAAAACTTGATGCATTATTAAAAAATTTATATATTATAAATTAGTCTCGTGCATAGGTCGAGTTTACCACTAGTTTTATTTGATACATATGTGGCATCTTACGGACGAAACGACAGAGAGTTGGCACATGAAACTAGAAAAGAGGATCCCAAGCACACAACAATAATGTGAATCTTTCATCTAATAAATCTCGCATTGAGAATTGTCTCTCTAAAAAATTAACTTTATCATTTATAGATGAACAAATCACGTTTTCATTTACAAAATGGACAATTTAAGTTTAAATTCATAGTTGCCATTCATTTTGAAAAATAAAATGTAATTTGTTCATGGGCCTAGTTATTTTGATGAAACAGATTTTTTATATAATTCATCTTTACTGCTGGGGTTACGGGGTTAATGGTTCGAATCATTGTTGTAGGCTCGAGATAGTGTCCATGAAATAAAGTATAAAAAGATATGGAGGATAGTGGTATAGATGAGAGTCATTCCCATATACAAATGGTAAAATTACAAATTAGTTTAGATGATAAAAAATAATTGCATCCTATGCAAAAAAAGAAAAGAAAAGAAAGGGTTAGACAATATTCATAAGGGAAATAACAAGACAGTGGAAAATGAAAAGGTAATAAATTATTTACCAAACAATAGGGGTGTAATTTTTGTTGTGGATTTTTTTTTTTTGGCCGTGTGGTATTGGTTAATAAGTTAGATTAACATAATTAAATAAGAAAGTATATGGGACCCTTAAAAAAATTCCATTAATTTGAGGATTGGGGTTGCTGTTATGTTGGGTACATAAGAGCGACTGTTTTACAGCTAAATGAGTCCATTTCGATAATTCGAACCATTCATATTTTAGAATACATAAAGTAGAACATACCTGTGAAAAATTAAGTTAGATATCGTTAACCCTTTTATCCACTCACATTTGTATTCATTTTAATACTTTAAATTACGATTGTTATTTATTTTTGTAGATACAAATGTGAGTATATGAATGGGTAAATAATATCCAATTAACTTGATTTTTTTTTGTAGGTATGTTGTACTTGATGTATTCTAAAATGTGAATAATTCAGATTATTAAAATGAGTCCCAAAATGGGCCAATTTGGCTGCACAATAGTCTTTGCTGTGCACCCAGCATAGCAGAGATCCCAAGTCCTTAATTTGATCAATAATGATGTTGAATGATAGATGTCAACTTTTAATTTATTATATACTCAATCATATATTATTCAACTCTTTATCACATGATTATGAATGAATTTGTAAGTTTAAAATTGTAAATTCCTAATATTTCTTAATTAAATATTGAAAAAATTACAAGAAAAATCTCAAGATTTTATTATTGTAACAAAATAAACTTTGATTTTTTAACTTTGTCAATTTAAATTTAAATTTTTCGATTTGTTTTAATTTAAACCATCTATTTATTTTCGTTAAGTAAAATTGATAGAAAAAAATATATTTGTCATTAAACTTAACAAAAAATGATATTTCAGGCATTTACAATTGCATTAAGTTTAATGACTAAAGTAGCTTTTCAAATTATTGACTAAAGTACCTGTTTCTAATCAGTTTTATTTATGAAATAGGCGATAGTTCAGATTAAATACAAATCAAAATATTATAATTTAAATTAATAAAATTAAAAATTCATGATTTATTTTGTTATAAAGATGAAACCTTAAAATTTTTCTTGTATGTTTTTTTTTGTAAATTCGAACTTCAATTCTTAGTGAAAGCAACCACTTCAGCCCAAAATTGCCTAACCAACCAACGAAAAACTTGCCGGCTTATTCTAATAGAACATGCACTGCATGGTAAGTAACACCTAGCAAGGATTGTAAAAAAATGTCCGGGTAAATCTATATAATAAGACACAAATTTTTTTGAAAATATGTTAAAGACAATTGACCTATTAAAACATTTCAATGGCCATGATTCACTTGTGTATTTATATAGACGGATGAAATTACCCCTTGAAATATATATAATTTACTTTCCGTCCAAATACTAAACTTCCTACTCACCCACGTCTATCTCGATTCTATCTTCAAGAGCAGTATGTTATTCTATCTTTTATCTCCTCCCTTCTTTGTTCTCACCCACCCCATTCCCTCTTTTATCTCTCTCTCCCTCCCTGTTCTTCTTCTTCCATACCCTCACTCCTGAAACTGCTGCTGTCCAGGTAATTGTATAGATCTTATAAAGATTATATGTCCTGTTCTTTTGTATTTCTTCTCTTTCATTTGTTGGTTTCATTGGTCACAAGTTTGATTTGCAGTACCTTGAAGCATTAGGGTTAATTTTCAGGTGAGATTCTAATTGCTCTCTCTCTCTCTTTCTCTCTCTCTCTCTCTCGAATTTGTAACAAATCTATTATTCAGAGAAGAACAGCGCATTTGGATTTGTGGAGCGATTTGGAGGTTTTTTTCTTTCTTCTGTAAACTGTAAGTGATTTCATTCTCTCTGCACTGCTCTGCATTTTTTTAAACACCATTGTTATGTATATCAAGTTTAAATTCTCATCGTATTTTCAAATTTTAAATATTAATTTTTTTTCCCTGTAATACGTAGCATTTATTTTTTGATTTAGTAGTTGTTTGTAAAATTTTGCAGTACATAAATTTCTGGTGGATGTGATCTATATATATATCTCTGCAAATGCGTGTGTATATGTATGAGGAATTTGGAGATCCTAGAGGAGAGAAAGAAGAAGAAAAATTGGTGATTGATCTGTATCTATATCTCTGCAAATGTGTGTGCATATGTATGAGGAATTTGGGGATCCTAGAGAAGAGAAAGAAGAAGAAAAATGAAAACCATGTGTCTCTGGAAATGTGTATATATATATATATATATGTATATATCAGTCGATCTATGTACTGGAGAGAAGTGAATTACAGAGTTGGGAAGAGAAAAGCAGACGAGATCTTGATCACAGTTGAACGTTTCAAATCTGGGACCAATTTGAAGGCTTCCCTGTGTTTGAGTTTGTGTTTGATTTCACAAGTCTAACAGAGAAGTAAACAAATTAAAATATGGGACCAATTTAAATCTCCCTGTGTTTGAGTTTTATTATTCTCAAATCATTTATCTCCCTGTGTTTGAGTTTTAACACTGGGAGATAACACAAAAAATTGTTTAAGTAAAATGACATCATCCTTCATTTTATCTCCATGAGCTAATGTTTATATAGTGTGGAATAATATATATTAAAAGTGTGGAATAAGCTTACTATAATGTTTATATAGTAAAATTTTTGGTGTTATCTAATATTTTACTTCATCATATTTACTATATAAACATTAGTTTCATCATATTTCTAATAATGAATAAGGAGAATAATAAAACGAAGGATAGGAGATAACACTGGGAGATAACCGGTTTGTGTTTTTCTCATGGACTAAATCATTTATTTCCTAACATTATTATATTAAATCTCTCTGTGTTTGAGTTTTATTATTCTCAAATCTGGGACCAATTTGAATGGATATTACTGTTTTGTGAGGAGATTTTTGGAATCTGTCTATTAAGAATGGACTAAATTGAACAGTGAGACTGTGTTGTGCATGTTTGAATTAATGCTCCATAGGATTCAGATCAAGTCTTTGACCTGTTCGACTAGAGGGAGCTAACTCTACCATTAGTGTAAATCTCTGTCCTATCTACATGAATGTATATGTATTTTGTCGTATTGATTATGCCAGTTAGAAGAGAGTTTAGTAATACATGCATATATGGTTAGCTTTTTTAAAAAAAAAATTTCTTAACAGATGAAACGTATGCATATGGTTTGCTATGTGAAATCCGAAGTTGATTTTCTTAGAGAAATTGTTTATTTTTTACTATTATATAAATTTATTGCTACTTCTCTGTTAGATTTGTGATTTTAATTTGTTTAGTTAGGCAATATTGGTAATTGGTAAGTTGTGGTTAGTTCCATTTATTTAGGATTTAGCTTTATTCTTAGAACTGATTTGTTTAGTTAGGCAATATTGGTAATTGGTAAGTTGTGGTGAGTTCCATTTATTTAGGATTTAGCTTTACTCTTAGAACTGGACTACTACAAACTTTGATGAGAATTAGCAAACTCCTAAACAGCCTCGCTAAGTTGGAACAATTAGAAATTCCGATTCATAGTCAAATGTGAAGCATGGTATGAATCTCTCGCTATTACAAATCCAGCAAGTTTGAGTTAAAATTAGACTGTCTTTTTGGAGTTCTTTTCAAGAATTCAGTGGTTCCTCTTGCATTGGATATTTTATATCACTGCTGCAATTGGATACACAATAACGACATCTATTAGTATGGTGTGAGTATAATTTTAATGGACTTGCTTTTCGGTTTTGAATCTCCTTATTAGTCTTTTATTGTCTTATTTATAGTAGGGGGGAATTCTTCCCAATCCACTGTGTGAGTTGGAGGCTTTGTGAGTTTGTTGTGCACACGACAGAGAACAAAAGATGAAATCTCAAATTTATGATCTCCACAGATCAAATCCCAATAAAATCCAAGTTTTTCATTGCCCAAAACATGATCAAGTCTCGAGCATAGCAAACATGGAACTTACAATTTGCAATAACAAGCAAATTTTGTGACCAAGTACGAGAAAATTGCATCAATAAACAACATACAGATCAGTAACCACTCAAGGACAGCTGATGCCAAAGCCATGGTAAATCTGAGTAAAAAATTGTGTGATTTAACAGATGAAATCCCTCTGGCAGCCATTCCCAAGCAGAACTAAATAAACACCAATGCAGTCATCCAACACAAAGTCAACTCCAATCTTCCTACAATGAAATCAATAATTCAGCACTGTCAGCATCAATAGACAGGCAATAAGTTAAAATAAAGACTGAACAAAAAATGAAAGAAACCATAACAATACATTGAAAATAAAAGCCAGCTGGGGACAAGCAAACAATTTAACACAAACCTCAATTCAGAATTTTGATCAAAATATTTTAGCAACTAAAGGATCCCCACAGTGTGCCGTAAGTTTGAAGTTTTTGGAATATTGCTTTTACTTCACTTCTTTCCTTTCACTTGGCATCATTGTTTTAGGCAGTTGTATTTGACTCTGTATCTATTCTTTTGTATTTATTGGTTTCTTGCAGTAGATACCTTGGGAACACATGAAGTGGAGCAAAAAAGTGTCACTGGTGTGTATTTTAATTTTAATTTCTTTTAAATTGCAGAGTACTGACTGCTGTGCATTATTTGATATTTATTTATTTTTTATGTTTGATTTGTTTGGAATTGTAGAGTGTAGTCTATTAAATATATTTTTATAATTGTATTTTAATCTTAAATTTAAATAGTGTTGTGATTACAATTATATTATAATCCTAACATTATTTACACCGTGCTTTCAGGCATGGGCATCCGCTAGTTACATTACATGAAATAATTTTTTTTTCTTCTAATTTTCTGAATTACTATCTCTATGAATTATTATGTTTGAAATTAAGAAGACAAACAATTACAAAACATTTTAACTTTTGATATAAAATTATGCTATAAAAAGTAAATATTAATATAGCATTTGCTAGAGAGATGCACTCAAAGAAAGGAGTATGTGTCCCTAATTAAAGATAAAAATAATGCTAGCATTTGCTTTTAGAAAATGCAATGGAAAGTTGTGATTAAGGGTTGGTTTAAGGTGTCATAAAAAAGTATATTTTTTGTCTTTTTACGAAAAGATGTGTAGAAAAGTAGAGAGGTGATGTGATGGAAAAAAAATAAAAAGATGGATTATATAGTGTATGCCAAACCAGCCCTAAATCTAATTATGAAGAGATTCACATTTAGAATATATCTAGGCTTTGTTTGGGAATTATTTATTTTAATTGATTTTTTTTAAATTTTTTATAAGTAAAAAAAATATAAAAAAAATAAAAAGAGTGATATAATGATTTATAGCGACTTTTTCACTATAAACCTAACTCTTCAAACGGGTATGTCATCATGCTTTAGGTGACCCATTTTATATTTTAAGGATATTGTTAACACGTGCTTTTAGAAAATGAGTCAAGTAGGTTCTAAAATATTTTGTATTTTTATTACACTTTGTCTTGGGGAAGGTGTTTTGAGCTTATGCCTCGACATGTGGCATGATCTAATAGGATAAAGTATTGATTCTAGACGATCTGGCCTCTAAATTTTAAATAGTTACTAATGTGATTAGGTCTGTGAGACTCACTGTTGAAACTCGCTAAGATGACACCAAAGGGCATATTCAACATATCAATTTCTATGTGGTCGGTTAGTGCTTCTAAAGGTTAGGTTTGGCATAATATAAAAAAGTTAAAAAGTTATTATCTTATTTAAGTTATATCATCTTATTAAGTCATATTATTTTTTTATCACATCATTTCAAACTTAATTCATATTTTATAAAAAGTTAAAAAATATACTTATTTGATCATTCTAAATCACCCTTAAATGTCGTTAGAGCAGTTATACCCTCTGATGGTGTTTTGGAAGCTTGAAAGGCTCATCAAATGCTTTTGAAAGGACACTGAACTACTGTTGAAAAAACACACTGAATTACTGTTGAAAAAACATCCTTGGCATCAATTGGAGTTGAGCACACCGCTAATGATATTAGTGGGCATATTCAACTCCTAACCTTCTTCATTTACATCTACAAAAAGGTCTTGAGAAGAATAAGAAGTCGATTTTTAATTTTTGTATGTCAAATGGTTCGAATGGGTGATCATTATACTAGAAATCTCGTAACAAAAATCTCGTAACAAAAAGTGTCATCAACATACTCATTTGTCATGTAGAATGTACAAACAAATTTTAAATCATTTTTAACAAATACCTTAAAAATACACGTTAACAAAACTTATATTTTAAATGCGTCACTAGCATTATGTTATGACTAATGTTGAAATTTAATAAATTAATATTTATACTCCCTCTATCCCATTTTATTGGTCTATTATTTTATTTTTTATTGTTCTAAAATGAATATCCAATTTGAAAAGTCAAAACTTTGAATTTAAAAGTTTTCAAAATTATTCCTTGTAAAATAATTATAAATATATTTAAAAATGACAATAGAAGAGTATTTTTAAAATTAAACTTTTAAAATTTGAATTCAAAGTTATGTTTTCCCAAAAAAAAAAAAGTTTTAAAAGAAGTTTATTTATTTATTTATTACAATTTAGGTCTCGTTTAGAAATTAAATATTTTAATTAAAAAAATTTAAAAAATTACTCTTTTCATCTTTTTACATATTTTTTATAAATTTTTTTGAGAATTACTAAAATAGGGTGCTAGAGGCGGTAGCCAAAACAAACCATGAGACATGTGGTCACATTTCAAAATGTCCCTTGACAAACAAAACCCCATCCAATTCCGAGTTTAAAAAACAGTGAGCGAGTCGCCGAGCAGAGCAAAGCAAAGCCCATGCCATGGCGCAACACCTTCTTAACCTATCAAGCCCTCCACCCCTACCTACAGCACCGCTCAACTGCTCTTCCCTTCGATTCGGCACCGCCACCCCCAATCAACATGTACATCACAGCTGGGCCTCTCTGCACCGTAGCCTCAATTGCAACCCCAGATTCACTTGCCTCTTCTCTCACAATAATCGCAAACAGGTAACCAATTTCTTCAATTTCTGTCTGTTTGTTTGCTCGGAAAATTTCTACTTGTTGGTCCTGATTTCAATCCGTGGTTTTCCTGAATGTTTCAACTGGGTCTCTTCAACTTCAAGTTACTGTATTCTAGTGTTTTTTCATTTTATGGCACTTGAGAAGCCCTAATTTCGATTTGATGTACTTGAATGATTGAGACTTGTGAGGAAACAGCTTAACAAAAGGGATTATGTTTTGATATCCACTGTTACCTACACACACAAAAAAAGAAAAAGAAAAAAAGAGTCGGGTTTATATTTATGTTTTTGGTCTAGAACTAGAAGTGAAGAAAATGGCTTTTGAAAATGTGTTCGATTTTTTGAATTTTTTTTTCTTTTTTTTTCTTTTCAATCCATAGGATGCTGTAACAAAAGAAGTGCAACAACTATAGAAGTGCAACAACTAGCCCCATAATTGCTAAGAAACAACCAAACCAACCACCTAAGAAAGAGACCATAATGGGGAAGAAATGAATAATACAACAAAGAGAGTCTCATAAAGGGGAATAAATTATCAATCATTGCATTTAGCAAGAATTGACCCCTACTTACCTTTCTGATACTAGTGTACGAGGATGGCTACCTGAGCTAGCCCAGTTGGTTTATTCTCTTAATTAGGGTGTTGGAATTGTGATAGGACTTAGGTGGCAGTGAATTCCAATCCCACTGTTCACTTATCATATTTATGAACTAATTTTAGAAATGCATTTGAATTTTGCGATATTCACTTTTTTCAATTTAGTAGGATTATAATAGGAAACAAAATTCAATTCTATGCAACAAAACACAGCATCAAAGTGTTGAGGATTTAGTTTTTGGTTAATCAAGTTTAGAGGATTGAGAACTTGGTTGTTTCATTAAAATATGCTAGTGTAATGTCACTAATTCACAAGAACCAAAGTTAGATTAGCCAGTTGTTTCCTAGTCCATGGAGGACTCCAATTCAGCTTTCATTGCTTGATTGATGAAATGGTAAAAGCTCGGTATGTGGAGCCATAAGATAATAGCTTCCAGTCCTAGGGAAGCTTGTTTGGGCAAATTGTGTCTAAGGTTGGGTCTGTATATAGGGGTGCAACTTGGGCGGGTTCAACCTGAGCAACCCGAACCTAGCCCGAATTTTTTTAGGGCTTGGACAAGATATTTTCAAATTCAGTACGGGTTTGGACAAAAATTTAGTAGCCCGAATTAAATTTGGACAAGTTTAGGCAAGGACATTAAACAATCCGAGCAACCCGAAGCCCGAATTATACATATATAGATATATACAAATATTAAATATATATATAAATTATTAGCCATTACATAATAGTAAAGTAATTTAGATTATTAAATCATATTGAATATATATTATATGTACAAATAACATAATTTTTTTTTTTTTATTTTCATTCATAAATTGTAGAGACTATTATAACGGCATCTCTCTTACATTTTATAAATTATTTGTTTTGATGGTATTAATTATTTTCTATGTATAAAAAAAAATGTAAATAAAGTCAAATTTTAATAATTTAATTATGTAGTTGCAAAAAAAAATACAATTCGGGCAACTCGGGTTTAGCTCGGGTTATGTTTGGGCAGGCAATCTCGGGTTACAATTCGGGCTTGGACGGGCCTGGACAGATTTCAACACAACTTGGGTTGGGCTTGGACAACCTTCCAACCCGACCGAACCCGCCCGAGTTGCACCCCTATCTGTATATAGCATAGTTGTCAAATTAGGAATCAAAATGGCCTCATACCGAATCACGAATTGAATTTAATTGTGAATCATAAAGATTCGGTCACTTTTTCTAAACTATTTGGAAAAATGTATCTACTCACTTGGATGTTAACATATCTTACAAATATGAAATATTTAGATTTAAATCAATGCAAATGTTGTTTTAAATGATGATCACATAGTTTTATAGGTAAGAAGTTAAGATAGGTTCCTATGTAAGATCACCGTCTTACTTTTTCTATGTTTTAGATATTTCTTATTATTATTAATAAAAACAGTAAACAAAGACACACTCTTAATTTCTATGTAACAATAAATTAACAATGATGTTGATATTTGGGCAATAAGCATAAATACATTTCCAAGTACCAATGACCCAATAATAAGAAAAAATTATTTGCCAAGAATATGAATGAGTTTGCTTTTAAGTTGGAACACAATTTTAAGTACATCTACATTCAATTGACTGCTTGAGGTAAGCCAGTTTAGCATGCTGTTTGCCAGTTTTCAAAAACTCTAAGAGCATAAGTACATCCTGTTTAACTAGCTCAGAACTCAAAAACAACCGTGTAATAATACTAATGTAGAAACTGCCAAGATTCTTGAGGGATCCATCCAGCCTGAGAGGTGTTGGGGTAGCCTAGGGCTGGATAGTACTGTAGATACAGCCATATGTCTCACACTTGTATATTGTCCAAGTGTACATTGGTATTTTTTTTTCACACTTGTAACCTGTAACGATATCTATCACACTTGTAACTCTTTCAAGGGTACTTTGTTTCACACGCATAACCTGGAACCCTAACTATATATATTGGCGATAGGGAAACTCTTTTGTATCTTGTAATTCAACTCTTTTGTAACTTGTAATTCATTCTTCTATATGGTGACACTGCCACAACAACTACCATCGACGTAGCCCATTTTTAGGCAAATCGCATAAATCTTATGTTCTTGTGTGATTGATATTTGATTCCTTTATTTATTTATTTGCAATCTCGTATCCATTAGATCCCATGTTCGGGTTCCGCAATTCCTAACTAGAGGTTTGATATTGATAAGCATCAGATATCCAAAAGATTGAAGAACAAAATATTTAGCCTCAGTGTCATATGGAATTTATGGAAATGATCAAAATAATTCCATGCTTGAGCATATTCTGGTCGTTTCCTGTATTCCCTCAGATATGATATTTGAATGATTATTTTTGGTTGCTAAGCTTTTTTTTACCAGAGAACTAATGACTGCATTAATTTTTTTCATATGCCTAGTTAATCCTGTCATACAATTATTGTTACGTGTTATTGCATCCTCCTAGTTCTTGAACTTAAGCCAACTTGATAAAACCTTTTTCCTTACTAAGGGAATCAGATTCATGAATCCTTCTTTTGCTTTCCAAAATCTCTATGATTAATATAAGGGGGATTTGGTCAAAACCCCCTCATAATAAAATCTTTAATGCATTAAGGACAAGCACAATGAGTTTTCCTTGAAAAGTTTAACACATATCACTGTTATCAAAATATTAAATTTTAAAATAATATAACTTTTGATCTAGATGTTAGGCTTTAATAAAATTAATCAGTGTGTTTGGTTTGAGTTTTTTGAGTTAAGTTTTTTGAAAATTGAGTTTTTTGGTTTTCATGTTTTTTTGTTTTTAGTGAATTTTTTTAAAATTTTAAATATTTTTTTTACTTTTTTAGATGCACCTTATTTAGATGTATCCAAAAAGTAAAAAATTTGCGAAAAAATATTTTTAAAAATTAATAAATATATAAAAAAACAAAAAAGTACTGAATTCTTGTATTTTTTTTTGTATTTTTGATATTTAGTGAATTTTTAAAAGGTTTCTTTCACAAATTTTTTACTTTTTAGGTATATTTATGTTAGGCATGTCTAAAAAGTAAAAAAAATTACTTAAAATATTAAAAAAATCAGTAAAAACAAAAAAACACGGAAAATAAGAAAGTAGAATTTTCTGAAAACAGTTTTTGAAAAACTGAAACCAAGCATGGTGAATATTTTTAGAATCCTTTCATCAATATCTATCAAATAAGATCCATGTTGACCATGAACTTTAAAAAAAAAAAAAATTATAATTACCGTCGAAATTGATGTAAACAGTAACATGTTACTCTGTTTGACGGTAACATATTACCCTATCTCACAGTAACATATTATTTTGGTTCACAGTAACATATTACTCTAGCAATATTGTCCAAGAAAAAAAAAAATTTTACTTTATCCTTGCTTAGTTATATGCCCCCTCCTTAGGGGGTTTATGAAGCAAAATAAATTGGGCTGTCCTTTTCACCAAACAAGAGTCCAATGGAGGGGTTTGGCTAAATTTCCCTTAATATTAATTGAGACTTCGATGCAAGTTTTGCTTTTCCATCTTACTTTGTTTCTTGTTTTTCTTTCTTTCCCTACACTATTCTTGATGGATTTTACCTTTGAATATCCTTGTTGCAGGAACAGGCCAAGAAAGCATTAGAAAGTGCACTTGGTGGAAAGAAAACTGAGTTTGAGAAATGGGACAAAGAAATTCAGAAGAGAACAGAGGCAGGTGGGGGAGGTGATGCTGGTGGAGGAGGTTGGTTTAGATGGGGTCGATGGTTTGGCGGGTCTAATGGTGATAATTTCTGGCAGGAAGCGCAGCAAACAAGCCTTGCTGTCTTAGGCATTATTCTCATGGTGAGAAATTCCTCAGTCCTTTCCTAAAATTAATGTAGATTTCCTTGCATATGATCTCTCTCTCTCTCTCTCTCTCTCTCTCACACACACACACACACACACACACACACACACACTCACACTCACACATATTTAAATATTCTTCATTTGCATTCACAGTATCTGGTAATTGCGAAAGGTGAGGTGATGCTTGCTGTTATCTTCAATCCCTTGCTGTTTGGTTTGCGAGGAACAAGAAATGGTTTCACTTTTGTAACATCACGGATTTTGCACAAAATAGCTCCAAATAGTCATGCCAATTTTGACAAGAATCCTACGGAACAAGGCTATACCCATATTTCTGCTAAAGAGAGAGTAGTGGGAAAATGGGGAAGTGATTAATAATTTTTGGTGCAAATATCACTTTATCCCTTCCTTTTGCTACTACGGGCAATTAATCAATGTAGCCATGCATTTGCATGTTGAAAATGCAAATTTTGTAGTACATAACTTGTCTTTTGTGATGTTACTGAGCATGTTGATTCAAATCCAGATTGCTAAAAAACCTCAACTTCTCGATTTATCTGGAGAAAAAAAAAAGGAGAAAAAAAAAAAGAAAAAGAAGCCAGACTTCCAGGTGGTTGCTTGGATTCAGAAATGAGTTTCAATTCCATTTAGTTTTCTGAAACAACGCGTATTTGGTTATGCTGCAGAAATTGAATCGGCCATTGTCCCTTATTAATGCACAACCTCAGGTTGTAATGTTGATGCATTACAATTACCCGAAAATTTAAAGCAAAATTAATTACAAAGCTCTCCCTCACCAACAATTGTGGATTGTACGTCTTTTTGTGATATTCTAACGTATCGTTCGGTAATGTTTACAATTTATTGTTTGTTTATTTATTTTTACAATTGTACTTTTTTTTGGTTTATTGTACATCTTGTGTGTCATTAAATTTGTTTATTTTTGGTATAGAAAGAAAAATAAAAAACATGTTTGGTACACTTGTTTTAAAAACTTATTCTTGAAAAAAAGTGAGGTGGTTGTCAGCTGCTGAGACTGATCGCCAAAGGTGATTTCTAGTGAGAGGTGGTGGTTGAAGATGGTTGATGGCCATTGGAAGAGGTGGCAGGTGGTGGTTTATAGCAGGAGGCTGTCGGCCACGGGAGTTGGTGGTTGAAGGAGATCGCCACAATGGTGGCCAGAGGTGGCTGAATGTGATGGCTGTGGTGGTGATGAGCGGTGGATGGTGATGAGTGGTGGGTGGTGGCGGGAGGGGGTGAGAGATGGAGGGAGGAATGCCATTTATTTTAGGGCAAATTACATTGACACCCCCTCTATACTTCTAAGATCACAGTCACCCCCTCTATTTTATGAAATCACACTATCCTTATTTACTTTAAAAACTTGTGTAACACTTTAGTCCTTCCTGACTAAATAGAAATAAATGACATCACCAAAAAATATCTTTAAATGCCAATTTTACCTTTGAAATGTCATATTTGCACATATATATATACACATACATACAATCGTATATATACCAGTCAGTGTATATATCAATGGATATTCCAATTTATTATGGGATCTTGGTTCCAGAGAAGAAATCGGCTTTGTTAATACTACGTAATTGAGCCTAATGTCAACAAACTGATTCTCAATTGCATAGAGAAATCAATTATGCTTGGGCTATGATCTGTTGGTCAGATAAGAAATCCCAACCTGATCTAAATCGCTTAAGCCATTGAGAATAGCAACAATCTCTTCCCCTCTTCCCCAAGCACCACCATTGTTCATCACTCTCCTTCCCTTTCATTCCCATCCCCCAAGCACCACCATCACTATCCAGTAGCTCTCCCACATCCACTCTTTTCTTCCTTCTCACACAACTAACCCATGGAAACCCCCTCTTTCTTTTTCTGCACAAACGAAACCCTAGCTCACAACCCTGTCAAATCTCGAATCTGATATTAAATTTTATAATCTAAAATTTCAATTATATGATGATTCATCAAAACCGCCGTCTTCAAATATGACCAATGTAGATCTTTATCAGGTACAAAACTAGATGGCGTGGAGGAGATAGAGGGACTAGCAATATATGGAAAGCTATTGGTGTCAATTGCAAGTGAGAGCTGGAGGTGAATTTATCACAATGGATGAGGGTAGGGATCGCGTTGTTCACGGGGAAAAACAGTGGTAAGACTGTGGGTATGGCATTGGCGGAAGAAAGAGATCATGATTTGGTGGCCGAAGCTCTTTATAATCGGGTTGATTTTGTTGGGTTTTCCAAATGAGGGATTTTTTGGGTGGCCTAGAGAAGGTGAGATTTGAACAAGAGGTTTCTTTAAATGAGGAATTTTTGTGGTGGTAATGGATTTTATGGTAATTTGGATGGTTGCCTATGGAGGGGTGTATGGGTGTTGGGGAGAGAGAGGATGGTGTTTGGTGGTGCTGTGGGTGAAGTGTTTGGGTGTGCAAGGTGCATACCATATGCACTTGCCCACTTAAGATTGCCCTTTTATTAAAGTGAGATATGTTCAAAATTGTGATTTGGGAATGCTTTTGTGATAGGATGCAATGTGTTTATTGATTTGGAGTGAGATATGTTCAAAATTGTGATTTGGGAATGTTTTTGTGATAGGATGAAATGTGTTTATTGATTTGGAGAGATGATGAAGTTCAAATTATTTGTAGGGTTTTGGCCAAAAGGACTGGGGTTGGGATGATGAGAAGTGGCCATGGTGGGACTGACAATAGAGTTGATGGTTTTCTCTTGTGAAAATTTGAGACTAAAACAAGGGTATTGTAGTAATTATACTATTGGATCAAATGGAGTCATCTGGCAGGAGGTGTCAGTGTAATTTCAAACAATAAGGGGGGTGTTAGCGATATTTCATGAAAACAAAGGGTGTGTAAGTGTAATTTATCATATTTTTATACAAATTAAATCTCTTTTTTGTTTTTGACAAAAATTTAGTAAATTGTTTACAATTTTTTAAAAAAATGAAAAATAGACACCGCATTAATTTTTGTTGGTAGTTTTTAAAATTTTCGTAAACATAGACGTTGCTAAATGGGTATTTTAAGTGTTTTCATCTTGGAAGTTCTAAGGATGTGTTTGGATTAAGAGTTTGTGTTTTCATCTTAGAGAAGATCTAAAGTCATGTTTGAATTAAGGATTTGTCTAGTGAAACAAAAAAAGAGAGGAACATATGAAAACAAATAATAATGTTTTTTATTTCATTCATATTTTTATTATTAATTTCTCTCTCTCAATAAATTGTTACTTAAATCTATGATCTGAACCCACCTAGAGAAAACAAAATAAACCAAATAAATTTCTACAGGGAACTCATTCGAAGTTTCATAAAGAACTCTCTGGAGCAGTTATCTTCATGAAGTAAATAGGGGCATGATTAGGCAATTTTTAACAAAATAAACTCTGGATATATACATATGGATTTTTCTCCCTTCAGTCATGCATTTGAATAGGACGGTGCTATTTCGATTTGTAGAATGTTTTGATGGTCTGAATCGTTTATTTTGTAGGGTTTTTCGTGTACATCATTCATAAAAAAAAAAGTAGTACAAATGCAATGGTTTATTTTTAAAAATATATTTGTCATCCATTTTTTAGGAAATAAATGCAATAAATTGAATAGGTTATGATTATCGGATCGATCTAATTTTTTATAAATGATATACGCAAAAAACTTTAAAAAATGATTCAAATTATTGAAACAGGATTCATGGTGGATTGGACAACACCCTCAAATTTAGATGCCCTCCTCGAGAGCAGCCCAATCCATATTGTAATTATTTGTAAACTATGTATTAGTTATGTTTAAAAACACAATAATAATCCATTAGGTTTCCAGTTTATTCTTTGAACAGTGCAAGCGACCTCAAACAAATGGGAAATTTTACTATGCACACCCCTTGAAAGGAGTGTACTATATGTATCTTTCGTTATGTAATTTTTTTCTTTAGTTATGATATTATTTTTGTTAGGTTTTTATTCTTGTCAATCCCGTTTGACAAAATTTTTTTCAGTTGTATTTAATTTTGCACTTTTTATTTCAGTGAGGCTATGAGTGTTTAGATGTGAATCCAACCCGAATTGTGCTTTGCAGAGAAGTTTGTGATGTTAATGCTTTCAAGATTGCCACTTCGCTGATTATGACGGGAATTGAGCTGCCCGGTCAGCTTGCGGGGGTCGAGGGGGTAGCGCCCCTTTGCGGGTCCGGGGCAGCGCCACGGCGGGGTCGAGGGGCAGCGCCCCCGAATCAAAATGCAAAAATGCATTCGAAGTTGCCTGTCCGCTTGAGCGGACATTCCCCCGCTCGAGCGAAGAATGCTGGGTTTCAGAAGTTTGTTCGCCTGCAAAAATACTGGATGCTGTTTTTTCTCACTTGAGCAGAACTTTTCGCGCTCGAGCGTAGGTCCGCTCGAGTGGCCAATCTGACGCTCGAGCGGAGATCGCGGGACAGTTTTCTATAAATACGTGTTTCAGTTCAAATTTAGGATTACTTCTCCAGATCTTCTTCTTGGGTTCTAGGGTTTATATCTGGGGATATTTTGCTAGTTTTCTTTGATGTTTTGATTGAGTATTCAACTCATGGTTTAAAGAGTATACATCAAAGGATTATTTGTTTGTTCTACACAAAAGAGAGAGTTGTTCTTGGTGGATTCTGAAGAATTCGAGCCTGAAGCTTTGGCGGATTCCGGAGTGGCTCATCGTCAAGACAATTCCGAGGGGAAGACGGGGTTGGAAGAGGCACATAGAGGTTGGTTCAATTCGAGCGTGGATTTGCTAGGTAATTGAGAGTATAGCTGTGTAATTCCTTTATATCTTCTTAGTGGATTGTTTTGTGGCTGTTGCCCATGGTTTTTATCACAATTAGAGGTGTCCAATTGTGATTTTTCCACGTAAAATTGTTGTGTCGATTTGTCTTGATTGTTTGATTGGGATTGTTATATACTGCTTAAAATTGATACATAATCACAAATCAACATCTAGGGGATTTCTAGATTTTTCAATATTGATTATGGATTTCATTAGGGTTAATCACTAAAACAACATATTGATTATGGATTTCATTAGGGTTAATCAAAAACAACATATTGGGTTTTCTAGATTTCATTAGGGTTAATCACTACAACTTCCACCCCTATTTTCAAAACCCAAATAGAAGGGGGAGAAATAGAAGAAGATATTGAGGCAGATGGAGCAATATTCTGGAAATAGAAGAGGGGGGAAACCCTAGATTCTTACACCATTGATGGAGTAACTTTCCCCAAACCAATTGAAAAGTGGGATACAATTGATTACCAAAATAGTAGCTGGAATAGTAAAACTATCAATTCTCTCTTTTGCGCTGTCACACCTGAAGAGTTTAGTCGAATTTGCAATTGTGAAGTCGCAAAAGAGGCTTGAGATATTTTACAAACTATTCATGAAGGCACTCCTTCTGTTAAACGCTCAAAACTTCAAAGGCTCACGTCTAGTTTTGAAAATCTTTCAGTGAAAGATTATGAGACCTTTGATGAATTTTATGCGAAATTGAGTGACATTGTAAATTCCAGCTTCAATTTAGGTGAAAAAATACCAGAATCCAAAGTTATGGGAAAAATTTTGAGATCCTTACCCGATCGGTTCCAACCAAAAGTTACGGCTATTGAGGAGACTTAAGATGTTGACAACCTTAA